AAAAAACAAAAAACAAAAAACAAATAAAGAAAAATCGAAAATAATTTATCACCTTTCTTATTAATCCTGTTGTAACAGATACTACTCGCTAAGCGCATGGAAGACGTGTTGGAACATGCTTTTGAAGGTGGTTGTCCCTGGAGACAACATTCAAAATTATGACACAAGCCCTTGTATATCTGACCAACTTCTGGTGATCGATCAACACACATTTTGGGCAGCAGATTTTCGTTCATTTCGCAGCAGATGGTGGTGATTGGCTAATAGTGAAAAATTTAACGAGATCAACTGATTATAGATACCCAGTCATAACATATACTTTCGAATTTTCTGGGAAAATGTTGCACATGTATTATTCTTTAACATTTGCAAGCTGTATTTATAAGTTGTAAGCTGATTCTGCCTTCTTTTTTCTTTTCATTTTATGTAATCTCTAATCAATACTCTGCTTTGTATAACATTTTTCAAACTGAACAAGGTCTCTGTAGCAGTTTCTCATCGGGTTCCAATCAAGTGTATAGGCTATATCATGTTCCTCTAATGTCCAAGCTTGTCTTATTGTATATTTGTATTTTGAAATTGCTTTTTTTTTTTCTAGTGATTTTTCTTCTATCTTTAGGCTTATCTCAGTTGCATTTGAAATTGAAAGCGAGCATCAAAATTTTATTTCGAAATGTTCTGTTACGAAATTATGAGCTTGAAAGAAGTTGTAGTTTGAAATGTTATGACCATGTCATGTCAGTTTGGTTGCTTTATTAACTATTTGATAGGATCTATAATTAATTTAACAATTATAGTGAATTGAATCAACAAATTAAGTGTAGAAGTAAAGTAAACAATACATAGTGAAATAACAATGATTGCAAAAGCATCATCACCAAGAAGCCATAGAACCCCATACCTAGATTCGGCCCAAGGACCTGGAACTCAAACTTGACCCCAACCCTTGCACTTGCATCAGACCTTGAACTTGGACTCGACCCCAAAATAGGACCTGACCCTGGACTCAAACCTAATTCAAAGTCGACCTCAATACCAAACATGCACCTGACTCTGGACCCAAATATGGACCCAAGAACTCGAACCTAATTCTAGACTTAGACCCAAACCCGACCTTGACCCCGGACCCAAACCGACCCTAAACTAGGACTCAGACCCAAGCTTGTCCCCAGACCCAACCTTCGACCTAAATTCGACCTCGGGACCCTACCCCGACCCTAGACCTGAACCTAACCCTAGACCTAGACCCAAACCCGACTTTGGACCTAGATCTAACACCAAACCTGGACCCCGACTCCAGACTTGAACCTAACCCCAGACTTGGACCCAAACTTGGACCTGGAGCCGACCCCCATAATCGACCCTAGACCAGGACTCGAACCCTAGCTTGACTTTGGGACCCAGACCCAACGCAAGACCAAACCCACACCCGACCTTAGATCTAGACCTAACCCAAAACCTAGACATACTCCAAACCTGGACCTGAATACATACTTGGACCCAATCCTAATCCCAGACTCGGACCTAGACCCAGAATCGACCCCAAACTTGGACCTAACCCTAGACCCAACCCATACCCANAAAGACTAAAAAATTCATGAAAGATAAATCCCCCATAACCTGACTCTAAGAGAATTGTTAAGTTACAAATTCAAAATGCCTGAATTTACAACTCATCTCTGTCTTTATTTGGCTACCCTTTGGTTAAATGCTTTCATATTTGATCCACACATGAAAGACCCCATCAATTTTTCATAATAACCAATTCTGATGAAGTTGCCTATAAAACTCTAGTGGAATGTAGANTAACTCCATACTCTACCCGAACTCAGACCCTAGACTTGGACACGACCCTTACCTGACCCTCGAACCTAGACATGACCCCAGACTCGAACCCCAGACCCCGAACCCAAACTTGAACCCAGAACCAAACTTGAACCAACTGTTTGACTAAATGCCCCCACCAATACACAGTATTATGGACCTCCCTCATCTTGGCATACACTTGCTCAAACAACGCTCACAAATCCCTCCAACTCTTCCTTGTCAAGCTCCACCAAGCCAAGACACATTAAAAACCAAACAACTTTTGTTTTGCCAATATAGCTCACGCCACAACTTTATTCCAATACCCCATATTTGGAAGTGTCATTTGAAAAAGACATGATTGATAAGGTAGTGATGATTGTGACAATGTCGTTTGTTTTGATTATTTAACTTATTAATTTGGTAGTGGTGATCGTGAGCATGTTGATTACTTTGATTATTGGTTGAAATAATGAAACACATTGATTGTTGTTCTCATTTTGGGTTGTGGAGTTAAGACTCGTCCACCTTTATATAAATTTATTTTAGTGTTCTAGGGTAAGAATATTTTATTTAATTTATATATTTTTGGGGTTTTCATTAGCATTGAATTAGAAATTGATTTTAATTTTAAAGGTGACTTTGTATGAATTTCAGGAAATGTTTGATGCCCGAGTAATAATAACAATTCAAATATGTTAGACATATGACTTATATTTTTGTCATGCTGTCTACTTTAATTCTTTTTTTCCATTTAACCCTTTATATGTATATGATTATGATACGGTTCTTTTCAATTTTTATTTAAAAATGTGAATATTTTAGATCTTTCAATTTACGCGTTTAAATTGTTGTGTAGATGTAAATTTTTAGCATAATATATTGATAACAATTACTAATGTTAATATATTTTACATGCTTGCCTAGAAATCATGTTTTCCAAATTACAAATACAAATTCGGTGAGAAATTGCATGCCCTAGTATAGTATAGTTTAAATCAATAGAAGAGCAAGGTTGAAGTCCTCAATGATTTCATTTTTATTTTCGATCTAGTCAAATACAAGTCAATCATGTAAAGACTAAAAAATTCATGAAAGATAAATCCCCCATAACCTGATTCTAAAAGAATTGTTAAGTTACAAATGCAAAATGCCTGAATTTACAACTCATCTCTGTCTTTATTTGACTACCCTTTGGTTAAATGCTTTCATATTTGATCCACACATGAAAGACCCCATCATTTTTTCATAATAACCAATTCTGATGAAGTTGCCTATAAAACTCTAGTGGAATGTAGATACCGAAACTTCGACACGCAAGGACTCAACATGTTTAATTGTACATTCTGCCACAAAGGAAGAACTCCACAACACACACACACACACACACACACACGCACTGCTGCAATTGCTTCAATTTCATAAATTTGTATAGGAAAATGGGCTAAACAACACTAAGGAGTACTTCACATGCAACATATTCCAGACCATAAGTCGTGGTTACTAATCACGTTTTCATCTAAGTCATTCTTGTGGCCATGGCGTTATGGTTGCCTGCTAACATACTAGTTAAACAAACACCCAACTCAGTCAATGTTTCACCCCCAACTATTTAGAGCTTGCATATTTCCTCATTGTACTGTATAAAGTGCACAACTTTAGAAATTATCGTAACTTTTGAAGAGGGAAAATTCTCACATAGCAGGTTCATAAGCTAACAATTCAAATATCCACTGGCAAAAGTTTTATAATGACAAACCAAGAAGAAAGAAAGGGAAAAGCAAGAGGACGGGAATTAAAGACAAGCAAAAATGCACCATTTTATTGCCAAATTTCAATCAAAAATTCTATTCAGGTAAAAAGAGAAATCTAATTCTAAGGAGCCTATATACTTCGAAATATTCTATGAAAAATTTCCAATCTCTAGCTATTTTCGTCAAAACTACTATCTCACAAGAGTCTTCTCCTTATGGTTACAAATCATGAAAGCTGCACACGTATATCAAGGCTTTGTACAGAATATATGTACATGGAAAAGAGGCTGCGCATATGTCCTTGAAGGTTCTTTATACTATGAAGTAGACTCGTATGCCCAAAAATTATCAGGATCCAGACTGAACAGAGAAAAATCTTCAACTTCTAGATTTGCTATGTGCCAGTCAACAAACCGAGCTTGTATCGACTTGAATAGCAGCAGGATGGTAGGCAAAAGCCACCATTTATCATCCTCCCTGGTGTTACCCATAATTGAATATCTAAGTCAATCCAATTGAAAGAGACACCAACAGGAAAAATCCCAGAAAATGATAGAGACAGAAATATATGAATAATCAACCAAATAAATTAACTTAGAGCTACTGTGCTCTAGAAAGTCTTATGTACGTATAGATATCCATGACCATTATTCACCTTATTCAGGTAATTTTGCCATGCTGTTTGGCTTGAGTTTTATCAAATAGGGTGACTACCGTTAAATAAATCGTGATTTAAGTGAGTTGGACTTGCAGTTCTAGGTTGGCAAACATCACATCTACTGTCAAAACTTGAGATCAAAATGAGCGCTCTCTCTCTCTCTCTCTCTCTCTCCGAGCCTTACTCTCTTACCTGTCACATGTCACTAACAATGGATTCATTTTAACATTTACCGTTCATATTAGAACTACCAGTGCTAGAACTGGTCTGCAAAAGAATTTATACTTTGCATCTCAATTCTAATTTATTAAGCATTACATTCTGAATCTTAAGGCCTAATCCCTCCCTGTTCAAATGGGATTGTAAAGGAAGTTGTTAGTAACCTCACCTTGTAGAGTTCCACATAGTTTCTCCCTCTTCAGGAGGCTGCAGAGAGAAAAATCCATAATGAATTATACCACAAATGAAAGCCACCGCCTGCAAGAAAAAATCAAAGTAATAACATTAAAAACAGGCAAGGATATCTGACATGAACATACTAAAAATCTAAATATAATGATGTATGTGTCTTTTGCAACCCTCTCGTACAATGTCTCAATCATCTAGTTGGTTATACAATGCAGCTAAAAAGTGTCATGACACTCCCATACTTATTACTGAAGATGCTTTATTGGCACGTAATTTTTAACTGGCATGAGACACAAAATCATAAATGCTGGACTTGGTAAAAGTCACATTTTCTGTTTGCCCTGGAAATGGAAGGAATATGAAAGTAACAGAATCATGACTAGCAGTGGATGGCAAATAGGTTGTCAAGACTGGTGTGCTTCTTTATATGGCCTAATGTAAATGTTACATGCGAAGGGATTTTGCAAACCATGTAATGGATCTATTAGCGTGACTTCTTGGGGATGAGAGAATGAAGCATATTCCTCCATCTTGAATTCATAAAGAATCTTGGAAAAGTATAGAAGTGACAATAATATATCAGCTACGCTCAAGAAATTCGATGCTAGTCTAGCTTTAAATATCCAATAATGCCTACAAATAGTTTTGAGGCAGGCTTTGGTTATGGAAATCCAGAGCTAAGGTTTTATTGGGGTTGCTTAGCGTATAGGTGTTTGACTGCATGATTTTCAATATGTATGAAATTATGAACCATCAACTACATCAAATACAACTTTGGTTGATTAGCAAGATTTATCAGAAGCTGCATTACGGTCTTCCACCACCAGTTTTTTGGCATTTTAATTGTTACAATTGTCTTGTATATTTAAACTTATTTTCATGTAATATTAGGTTGTAACATACCTTTTTCCTCTCTTTCTAACCAAGCTTCTCAATGCTTTTCAGAGGTTTTTAATGCTTTTGATATTGAGTAGCAAGATGTTGCACCTTGGATGTAAAGGTGAAGAAGTTCAAGATAAAAATTACATGTGGAGAACCTATTTTAGCTTCAAGACAGACAACTTTGTAATAGGAAAGCTTCTATCCATCCATCAGACAAGTTTGTCGCTTATATATGAAATAACCAAGAAGCCTTAGCAAAAAATTGAAACTCCTATGACCTAATGCATGACAAACTGACAGATGATCCTGTTTCTTCATGGTGCTGGCACATAATCAAGTCATCCACAATCAACTACATACAGTATCCACTATCCACCTTCCAAACAAAGGATGCTGCATAGATAAGCACCATCCCCTATTTGCCAGAAAGCCCCCACTCCCTTGCTTGTCCAAAAAACTAACAAAAAAGTTTTCTCCAAAGCAGCTCATCATCACTTCAAAACAAAGCTAACAGATTAAACAATCAACATTCAAGCCACTTAATTTCCATTTTCTTTCTAGTCATAATAATTTTGCTAGGATACGATCATTTATCTCCTTGCCCTCTAACTTCAATATAGCTGATGACGGGACGAAGTTTGGTACCATTATTGTCTCCTTCTATGCAGTTTATTTTAGTATTCACTTACAACTACTTGGTCTTCACCTCTATCAAGAAATATTGACATGCCTCTTCTCATTTATTATAAAAAAATACAAAACCTGTACAATTCTGTCCACATTTATTTGCATATATTTCTGTATGCTCAGAAGTAGGCTGGCCATGGGCCACGGCAGCCACAAAAATGCAGCCCGCGTTTAGCCCAGAGTCTCCTGGGCTATTGTTATAGCTCTAACCCAGCCCATGGGCCATTAGTTTCTATTTTTGAAATTTTAAGACCTAAATTTGATTTTTTTAAAACATTAGAATAAAATATAAAATACAGACATACTATGCCTATATAGAAATATAATTCTGGGCCGCCCAAGACAAATTTTCTGGCCCAAGCCTGCCTGGAATAGTACTGGACCATTTTTTGTCCAGGCCCTAGCCATGGGCCAACAAATGAGCCCGTTCCTTTTATATTTCCAACAAGGGTCATTTGGGCTGGACAGGCTGCTTCAGCCAAAAGCCACACATACATAGAACTGCAGTACTTCCCTGCAAAAGTATGACTATAAGGAAAGAAGCATGAGTTGCACAATTCACAATCTGTCAACAACTCAAACAATCTATCACGTGTTTATCCAGCAATGGGCCTAGCTTATAATAAACTGTGAACGGCATATGCAGAATAAAATGAGAGCTTCTGGTGCCTGCCTCTTGAAAATTAGAATAGTTTGTGACAGAGCTTGTTCCATTGATTTCCACCTTTCCCTTTCCATATATATCAAAATATTTGTTAAAGAAATTTCATTATTTAACTTCAGATGCAAGTCTTACAACACAAGGGTGATAGAAAAAAGGAATGACTTATTTATTTTGGCTTCATACGCAAGCCAAAGGGCTAAGCCTTTACAAATTAAATAGGGCTACCAGAGTATCTTCATTTGAGCTAACTATTTAGCTGATTTTCACTCGTGGTAGCATAGGCAATTAATGATCATGCTAAATTATTGTACCCTAGGTAGAACTTACAATGTTTGATAGAGAGGTAGCATTCCACAATGAATAGATGCGAGCAAGTGAAGCTCTCCTGGGACCTTTACTAAATAAGGCATTCAAGCCTGCCGGGAAGGGAGAAAGCAACGATAGAGGAAGGATAAGCAAAACAGCCAAAAAAGCCCCAAGTGACATCCAATAGAACAAAAGCAATGAAAGGAGGGTGACAGAAAGGTCGGCCAGAAGCATGATAGAGATCAGCAGCTGAATGGTGTCCTGAAACGAAGTGCACATCCAGATGTCAGATGATGACACATATTTCAATTATCAGCATATAATAGAGGATGCAAGTACCAGGCGGCCAACTGGTCTGGTGTTGTGCAACAACAGAGAAAGTGGGAAAAAATAGTCCTTCCTAAAATCCAATGATTTCAAGGTAGCATCATTTATAAGACCACCATTAACTCCACGTGTAATCCTTTTGCAAGATAATGCCTGACTCATGAATGGCTGACTCTGCTGTGGCTGCTTGAAGTTTTTTTGTGCAACCTTAGCAGTTTTCCTGGAAGTAAGACAAACAATAAAACTAACTGCTCTTCTTCATATAAAGATAATGATAACACTTCCTGGATGATGATAAGATCGTGCATGCACAAAGTTATGATGGATTATCTTCCGGTTACTGAAAACAATCATTTGTTGTACAAAAATTTGCAGCTATCACCACACAAAAGATGATTGGATACAACAGTAAAGAAATATTCGGTAACTGTTGCAACCTTCCTGAATATCAATTAAAGAAAAAACATCATTCCTCTTAAAACCAAATAATTTCATTATGACCTGGGGTAAGCAACACCATATCCTGTAATACCTGTTATATGGATCATTGGTATGCACATAAACAAAGAATACAATTAGCCAAATATTGACCTCCAAAGACATTGTTGCTGTTGATTCAACAGTGACTCATGCCACCCCTTAGGGGTAAGCAATACCAATCTCTCATCGGAAAGGAAATGCTAACCCCGTCAATTCATGCGAGTTTATCACATAAAAGAAACCTCTGAAGGAAGAAAAGGTCAGTGTGCAGCAGTTTAGGGCAAATGTGCATCTTCAGATGGTTTTACTGCAAAACCACTTCTTCCTTTTCCGGTCCAATTTATTTGATTCTATTCTTTAGTAACTTATGTGAATTATAATAATCCAATTTCTATGCCTCCACTGAATGATTTTTTTCACCAGCACATCAGAAAAGATAGTTAAAGAGCCAGGGTGAGAGAGCATAGATTTCAACCACATATATCTTGGCATTTATCTTTATCATACTTGCAAGGAAAGACTGACTCAACAAACTGATCAATCGGATGTTTAGTAGATTGGTGCATGTTCGGAGACCAGAATGACACCTAAATTTACTAAAGGATGGATAATCTGTGTTGCAGAATCAATTTTTGCAAGAACCATATATGTAGTGTGATCTCTAGTACTCTCTTGGGTTTATCAGAGATACCTCGGGAACTCATCACTGCTCTCAAACAAATCAGACCGGTGGAGATCCTGGAGAGAATAATCACCAACCAATACCAAGATACCAAGCTGGTAGTAACCACTAGCGGTGGCTTGGAACCACCCGAGCTCAATTTTAACCCCATGAAACTCAAGTTGGGGGTTTCCATGGCTTCTTATCCAATTTATAACAGGAATTAGATCAGAACGAATCGATCCATGCCTCACCGTCCTCAACTGGGCATTCAAACCAGCCACCAGACGATTCCAGACAGTTGCGGGCACATGCTGGTAATAAGCAAGGCGTGTTGTTCTATGTTAGCTTAAAATATTCAAAAAAAAAGTAGTGACCTCACTCAAAAGATTAGAGGATCAAGAAACCTGGCCAAGAAGGTTTGTCAACAAGGTATCACTGTGAAGATTATAGGATGACATGTAGCTTCCATCCCCGCCAAAAATTATGCACATGGGAAATCTCTTCTGTATGATTGTTACCATGTCTAAACGCTTCTCATCACCACCAAGGAAAAAATCAATATATGCAACCATCAAGTCCGGCATCGCTCCAACCTGAATTATTTGAAACTCATTTTATTATATAATAGAGCAGAAGAAAATAAGTGTGATAGGAAAAAAATTGTTCTTGAGACTGCTTAGGAGAACACTTATTTCCCTCTTTATGTTTAAGTGTCCTACACAAATGGGTGATGTTTCCAACATTCACATTACCTAAAATATGGTATATATATATATGCTTGAGTAATTTCCTTCCTTGTGTAATGTTCTCAGACTGGGCTATAAAACTTTAGAATACCTTAGAGAAAAACATTGTGTAAAAGCTCAGTCTTCCCGGCAGATACTGCAATATAAGTGCTTCTTGCAAAGAAAAAATGGATACTATAACCAGTGTCATTCACGACTAAGCATCTATGCCTCCAGAATTAACATGATTGTGTAGTTCTAAACCAGATGTTTTATAATTCTTTAATCAAATAAATGCAAATCAGACAACATATCTTCATCCAACTTTGTGGATACTCATTCTTTACATTCATAACTTGTGGTAGGCCTGCTCTTGAAGGTCAAAATCCTAATTTTACATTTCTTCAATCTCAGACTTTTTTTTAAGTACAAATTTTGGGAAAGATTTCCAATATATGCAAATGAAACCATCATTCTCAGTTCTCCCAAGTGTTATCAATACCATTAATTCAATAAAAATGACAATGTCACTGTCACCTCACAAAAACAAGTAGAGGTGTTTCTGTTCCTTTGCTTGGCAAATGAAGCTCACTTGAGGTGAGGCTTCCATGAGTTTGTCTAGCAGAAAATATTGTGCTAGGGAAGTAACTGGCATCTACACAGTAATAAGACTACAAAGAAAATGACTCTGCAGTAACATAAGTAATAAGTCAAACCTTCATCCCTTTGTATAAAGCACGAGAACGGCAGGAGCGCAGACAAGAATGATCATATTCAGACTTGACGTACTCCTGAAGGCAATGGATTTTATTTCTCCTACGCCACTGTTTCCAGGACCAGGCACAAGGATATGCAAGTACTGAAAGTATGCTGTGCACTGATCCTTCCCACCAATCATATGCAGCTACAGAATTGATCTCATCTATGAATCTGTTAAAAGCATCTTCATACCTGCAGCTCAAAATGGTTTACACATAATAAAAAGAAAAAATTGCAAGTCATGGGTTGGAACAAGTTGCTAAAATAGAATTCACTACAATATCATTAGTTCTTGAGTTGGTAATGTTCGCTGAGAAGTCAGCAAAAGATGGGCCAATTTAAGGTGGAGAAAATTTCACATTTTTTATGGTCTAATATGTGCTCATTTCAACAAAGATAAAATTACTGCAGTTAACATGGGCATTTTACTGTGTTGGGGACTCCAAAGTTGACAGGGTTTTCTTACACAATCTCAATAATTGCATTGGGAGGTGTATAAGGAAGATGCCAGGGTTCTCTGAACGTATTGGGGCCCATAAAGTACATCCTGTGAACATGGCTTTGAGTCTCTTCAGCTCTTGTTCCCCGGACCTAGAAATTTAGAAACTATGACAGTTACTGTTGATGGCCAAAGCATATGAAAACAGAGCAATGTTATAGCCAAAGTTGGCTATTTTGGAACTATGGAATGTTTCCAAATGGTGAAGTACCTCTGAAAGAGAAAGAAGATGAGGCAAATGATGACGGTTGTGTCGTTCATTTGAGTTTGCTGTTTTACAAGTACATCCTGCTCCAATCAATTTGATTCTCAAGGTACTCAATAATAGAGCTAAGAGCACCACAACACATGACAACAGAAGTGCAAAGGGCCAGGGTCCCCCAAATGTGTACATCAACTCCTCCAGTGGTGTATAGCAGTTTGGCATTCTGAACTTGTCAGATATACACCTATAGGGGCAAGATGACTGGGTTACTCCCCCTGCAAAAATTGGGCCCCACAGATGAGGTGATGGATAAAACTAACTATCCACTAAAATGCAAGACTGCTGGAAGACAAGTCAAAGCAGGATGCAAACAATTACCTCGTACATATATAAAATTTGCACGATTGCGAAGGAGCTCAAGGGAACAAGGAGTGCAAAGACAAGCATCAGAGCCTTCAACGTCTTTGTATGTGCCAACAGGGCATTCCTGTAAACGTATTGCGTTAACAAAGATAATCAAAATACACAATGTTCAGCAGCATGTTCAAAGTTCAAACAACTCTCTGCAGTGAAAAATTTAGCTTAAACAAATGACATGTCAAACAAAGACAATAGCTCGGTATTCAAATGAAGAAGAAGCTAGAAAGAATGATTATTTTCAGGATGAACTTTGTTAAGTTTGAAAGATTAACAAAATATTAGAGACAATATTTAAGGAGAAACAGAGAGAGGTTAAAAAATTTAACTTACCTCTCATACATCACTTGTATTTACAGTTAACTAAAAAATAATAAAAATTATACATACTCTCTTACTATTAACAATTTACACATACTACCCTACTATTCTTGACACTCCCCTTCAAGCTGAACTATATATATCATATAATTCAAGTTTGGAACAAATCGCTATAAGACGTGTGCGACTCAATACTTTGGTAAACATATCTGCAAGTTGATCTTCAGATTTCACAAATGGAGTTGTAATCTCCCTNGGATAAACAGAGAGAGGTTAAAAAATTTAACTTACCTCTCATACATCACTTGTATTTACAGTTAACTAAAAAATAATAAAAATTATACTTACACTCTCTTACTATTAACAATTTACACATACTACCCTACTATTCTTGACACTCCCCTTNATACTCTCTTACTATTAACAATTTACACATACTACCCTACTATTCTTGACACTCCCCTTCAAGCTGAACTATATATATCATATAATTCAAGTTTGGAACAAATCGCTATAAGACGTGTGCGACTCAATACTTTGGTAAACATATCTGCAAGTTGATCTTCAGATTTCACAAATGGAGTTGTAATCTCCCTAGCTACTATTTTGTTTCGAATAAAATAACAATCAACTTCAATATGCTTGGTTCTCTCGTGAAACACCAAATTGGCAGCGATATGGATAGCTGTCTGGTTGTCATAGAACAATTGTAAAAGAAGTTGAACGGAAACCCAATTTCTTGGAGGAAGTGTAGTAGCCAAGTCAACTCACTCGTCGTATGCGTCATTGTCCCATACTTAGCCTCAGCACTGGATCTTGCTACCACAGATTATTTTTTACTCTTCCATGAGACAACATTACCTCCTAAAAAAGTACAATAATCAGTGGTTAATCTTCGATTAGAAGGAGAGTCAGCCTAATCAACTTCTGAGAAACCTTCCACTCTAAGATGTCCATTCGCTCAATATAACAGTCCAAGTCAAGGAGCTCGTTTGAGATATCGCAAAATACGAGTAATTGCCTCACAATGTGGTACTTTAGGACACCCCATGAACTGACTTACTATACTGACTGCATACAAAATATTTGGTCGAGTAATAATGAGATAATTGAGCTTCTCAACCAATTTTTGATACCGACCCGGATTCTCAAACAGTACACCATCATCCATCAAAAGTTTCTGATTTGGACCCATAGGAACATCAATAGGTCTGCCACCCAGAAAAATTGCTTCTTTTAGCATGTCAAGTACATATTTCCTGTGGGATAAGCAAATACCCTATTTAGATCGAGTCACCTCAATACCCAAGAAATACCTGAGTTTTTTCAAATCCTTAGTATGAAATAGATCCAGCAAGAATATTTTAACATGACAATCCCCTTAGAATCATTTCCAATAATCACAATATCATCTACATAAACCACCAATAGAACATATCAAACATCTGTCTATATATGAAACACAGAATGATCTGTTTGATATCGAAGAAGACCAAACTCTAAAACTGCATCTGAAAACTTATCAAACCATGCCTTCAGTGACTGCTTCAAACTATACAAAGATTTCTTTAACCGACATACACTCTTACCATACTCCCCCTAAGCAGTAAACCCAGGTGACTGCTCCATGTATACCTCTTCAACCAAGTCACCATGTAGGAAGGTATTCTTGACGTCTAACTGAAACAAGGGTCAATCAAGATTAACAACCAAAGAAATTAAGATACAAACTGAGAAAATTTTGATAACATGAGAGAAAGTCTCCTCATAATCAACACCATAAGTCTAAGTAAAGCCCTTTACAATAGGTCGGGCTTTGATAGGCTCCACAGAACCATCCGGATGATATTTAACAGCATACACCCAACGACAACTAACAGTTTGTTTAGCAGAAGGTAAAGGAATGAGATCCCAAGTCACGTTATGATGTAAGACATTCATCTCCTCCTCCATAACTTTCCTCCAATCCGGATCAGATAATGCATTCTGTAAATGCTTAGAAAAAGATATAGTAGATAATTTGAAAATAAAACAAGACAAAACAAGAGACAAAACATCATATGAAACAAAATGAGAAATGAGATGATTAGTAACACACAAACGAGTACCTNACTTCAGATTTCACAAATGGAGTTGTAATCTCCCCAGCTACTATCTTGTTTCGAATAAAATAACAATCAACTTCAATATGCTTGGTTCTCTCGTGAAACACTAAATTGGCAGCGATATGGATAGCTGTCTGGTTGTCATAGAACAATTGTAAAAGAAGTTGAACGGAAACCCAATTTCTTGGAGGAAGTGTAGTAGCCAAGTCANTTTGTTTCGAATAAAATAACAATCAACTTCAATATGCTTGGTTCTCTCGTGAAACACCAAATTGGCAGCGATATGGATAGCTGTCTGGTTGTCATAGAACAACTGTAAAAGAAGTTGAACGGAAACCCAATTTCTTGGAGGAAGTGTAGTAGCCAAGTCAACTCACTCGTCGTATGCGTCATTGTCCCATACTTAGCCTCAGCACTGGATCTTGCTACCACAGATTATTTTTTACTCTTCCATGAGACAACATTACCTCCTAAAAAAGTACAATAATCAGTGGTTAATCTTCGATTAGAAGGAGAGTCAGCCTAATCAGCTTCTGAGAAACCTTCCACTCTAAGATGTCCATTCGCTCAATATAACAGTCCAAGTCAAGGAGCTCGTTTGAGATATCGCAAAATACGAGTAATTGCCTCACAATGTGGTACTTTAGGACACCCCATGAACTGACTTACTATACTGACTGCATACAAAATATTTGGTCGAGTAATAATGAGATAATTGAGCTTCTCAACCAATTTTTGATACCGACCCGGATTCTCAAACAGTACACCATCATCCATCAAAAGTTTCTGATTTGGACCCATAGGAACATCAATAGGTCTGCCACCCAGAAAAATTGCTTCTTCTAGCATGTCAAGTACATATTTCCTCTAGGATAAGCAAATACCCTATTTAGATCGAGTTACCTCAATACCCAAGAAATACCTGAGTTTTTTCAAATCCTTAGTATGAAATAGATCCAACAAGAATATTTTAACATGACAATCCCCTTAGAATCATTTCCAATAATCGCAATATCATCTACATAAACCACCAATAGAACATATCAAACATCTATCTATATATGAAACACAAAATGATCTGTTTGATATCGAAGAAGACCAAACTCTAAAACTGCATCTGAAAACTTATCAAATCATGCCTTCAGTGACTGCTTCAAACTATACAAAGATTTCTTTAACCGACATACATTCTTACCATACTCCCCCTAAGCAGTAAACCCAGGTGACTGCTCCATGTATACCTCTTNGCACGAGTGACTTTCAACGAATGACGATTCTTGCGTTCAGCAACACCATTCTGTGAAGAGGTGTAAACACAAAAAGTCTGATGAATAATGTCAGTTTTACTGAGATAAACTGAAAAATGATCAGATTCATATTCCCGAGCATTATCGAAACGTAAAGTACGTATACNACGAGAGTAGACATGGAAAGGTAAAGTAGATGGTAACACAATAGGCAACGGAATATCTGAAGATTAGGAAAGAGATGGTGGTACAGGAGATGACCCAAAGTCCAAATTCAAAGGCTGAAAAGGTGCTGANCGTCATTGTCCCATACTTAGCCTCAGCACTGGATCTTGCTACCACAGATTATTTTTTACTCTTCCATGAGACAACATTACCTCCTAAAAAAGTACAATAATCAGTGGTTAATCTTCGATTAGAAGGAGAGTCAGCCTAATCAGCTTCTGAGAAACCTTCCACTCTAAGATGTCCATTCGCTCAATATAACAGTCCAAGTCAAGGAGCTCGTTTGAGATATCGCAAAATACGAGTAATTGCCTCACAATGTGGTACTTTAGGACACCCCATGAACTGACTTACTATACTGACTGCATACAAAATATTTGGTCGAGTAATAATGAGATAATTGAGCTTCTCAACCAATTTTTGATACCGACCCGGATTCTCAAACAGTACACCATCATCCATCAAAAGTTTCTGATTTGGACCCATAGGAACATCAATAGGTCTGCCACCCAGAAAAATTGCTTCTTCTAGCATGTCAAGTACATATTTCCTCTAGGATAAGCAAATACCCTATTTAGATCGAGTTACCTCAATACCCAAGAAATACCTGAGTTTTTTCAAATCCTTAGTATGAAATAGATCCAACAAGAATATTTTAACATGACAATCCCCTTAGAATCATTTCCAATAATCACAATATCATCTACATAAACCACCAATAGAACATATCAAACATCTATCTATATATGAAACACAAAATGATCTGTTTGATATCGAAGAAGACCAAACTCTAAAACTGCATCTGAAAACTTATCAAATCATGCCTTCAGTGACTGCTTCAAACTATACAAAGATTTCTTTAACCGACATACATTCTTACCATACTCCCCCTAAGCAGTAAACCCAGGTGACTGCTCCATGTATACCTCTTCAACCAAGTCACCATGTA